AACGTTTATAAATCTATATAACAAATCTAACAATCCAAGATAATGATATTCTATATAATCCTAAAAAATCTATATTCTTTTTAAATAATTTTATTATTTAACCTTTTAAATACATACTCTAATATTAATCCAGTGCACAAATTCCTATTTTCTTAAATTTACTCTAAAATATTACTTAATTAATATTTCATTTGGCTTCACATAATCTATATAAATTATACTTTATAATTTGCTTCAAATATATCAAAAAACTACTACAAAATCTTTTTCACTTATACGTCAATTTCTACCAATTTACTCTTAAAATATTAACTTATTATATAATTATTCAAAATAAAACATTTTATATCATTAAATTACTTAATCATTTCTCTATGGTATTTATAAAACTTTCTTATTATCATATTTACGTAATATAATATAAATTGTTAATCATTACAAATTATTTAAAATAAATATAATTCCTCAAGATAACTATTAAAAAATGTCTGCTATGTTAAATAAATTATTTATATGTTATTGTTCAATAGAAGTCAGTTTACAGGGTTCAATCTTATATTATTAACTAGATTTTGATATCTCAAATGTTAAGATGTTTTTATTTTTAAATGTTTAACCTTATATTAAGTAGAATTTGTACCGGTATAAGTAAATTCAAGTAAAGTAGATTAATTATTGGTATATTTTTTATCATTAATCATAAATAATTTCATATTCATTATCATTATTAAAATGATCCAAATAATCTCGGTTGCAAAAATTATAATCATTTTCGGTATAAAAGTCAAAATTATAATCAATTTCATCATAAATGTCATGTGTAAAGTTAAAATTATCAGGATCATAACTAAAAGTTTCATGGTTGAGATAATTATCATCTACATAATTATCAAATATATTCTCATTATGATAAACATTAATTTCTTGTAACTTATTATTTATATTATCTAGTTTTAAGAATAAACTCATTAAAAGTTTTATTTAAGGTATCAGGGTGGTTTTGATACTTTAATTTCATTTCAATATTATTTACCTTGTTTATAAAATCATCAAGTGAGATAAAATCATGTTCACATAATTCACTTTTAATATCATCACATAATCCTTCGATTATGTAATTAATCATGTAGGTGTCAGACATTTTAGGGTTTATTTGATAACAATATAAACGTATGGTCATAATATAATTTGATACAGGTTCATTGTATTTTTGATATGGTGAATCTAATAGTTCATTAGGTGGAATCATATGATATAAATGCATCATATAGTTGGGAAATATCTACTTGATAATTTTAACTTATCTTTATTCATAATTTATTATTGAGAATATTATTTATAAGTAATATAAACTTGGTAAGATTTGTTATATTTTGGCAAAATATATCAATAGTACATTAGGGATTTAATTAAAATTCAGAATGTTACACTAAATAATATATTAAATTTTAACTTATCAATTTTAGTTGTCAATGATAACCATGTACTATCCAACATAAGTCTTGATCCAGATCCTTTTAAAACCGATACCATAATTGTCGCATGGCTGTCCTGTCCAGATTCCGATTCAGGTCTTTACATTCGTCCTGTCGCAGTGACGCCAATTGTGAGCACCGGGAGGGTGTCCGCCTAAATCCCGGCTCACGGTTACGGTAGATTAATTAGCTTGCTTATTTGATCTTGGTGATTTTAGTTAAACTTGGTTAATTAAGTAAATAAAACTATATTTTTCAAAAAGGCCTTTATTAGAGATAAATACAGTAATACATAAAGTGATGTTCACTTGAGAGCACCACTCAATAGACTATATTTTAAACATAGCAAACATGTGTTTATATAGAGAACATTAAAAAGATTTATGTGACAGTTCATGTGCAGTAATAGCCTTTGTGGCATAACTACTTTGCATAGACAAAGAGGATCCTGGTTGTTGACAGCTTTAAACATAGCAAACATGTGTTTATATAGAGAACATTAAAAAGATTTATGTGACAGTTCATGTGCAGTAATAGCCTTTGTGGCATAACTACTTTGCATAGACAAAGAGGATCCTGGTTGTTGACAGCAAAAAACAACTATAATTAATAGGTCCTACAGTATGCATTGGAGGGGGAGTATCGGTTCTGCGTACGACTTGCAACAAGGGGGAGGGGGTCAATTTTTGGGCCAAATTTTGCGTACGTACTTATTGAATGGCCCCTTAAGTCTTATTTTGGTAAGTTTGTTACTTGTTATAAATAATTAACAAAATTAAAATAATTAAATCTTATTATTATTAATTAAAACGCAAGTAAATGAATAAAATTTATTTATAAGTTATACATGCATAGATCAGAAAACTACAACAATATTCTATGATTTAATAGAGTTTTTATTATACTGTTGGTAATCATATAAATAATTAATGTATTATATAATGGAGTTGCCATCGATTTAGAGTTAATGCCATATTATATGTTTTACATATTCTATAAAATCTTAATTTTGCCGAAAATTGTAGACAACGATTGGAATTTAGATAAAGAATCCGAAAGACTATAAATATTCATTGAAATGACATAACAATAGATGACAAATTTCAAAACACTCTATACCTATAAATCTTTCTTTTTTATATGAATTCATTTTTGTTATTTATTTAACACAAAGAAAACAAATTTAAAAAGACGATTAATAAGAGTCTCGTAAAACTATTAAACAGTATAATATCAATATAATGATTATATAATAACAAAGAGGAGTTATTTATGTACAAACTGAACACAATTAAACTATACTCGAAGTCATTACAAATATTTGTATTAATTATTAATTTTTCAAAAAAGTTTACTTTTAAATTATTTCAAATTTAGCTCAAATGTGGATTGTGCTCGTTAGTTTTGATATAAATGAATCAGATTTTTACAAAATAAATATATCATTTCAATTAGTTCCTTATAATATAATATAAACACCATTAATATTTCTTTTGAAATCTGTAAAATTCAATAAATTTAAATAATAAACAATAAAATTTTATAGGATTTGCGTAGTCGTTTAAATTTACAAAATATGTAAAGGAAATACTTAAAAATCAAACAATTCTGATAATTGCTTTCTACCGATTATTCATATTTGTTGGCAAAAACTTTTCTAATTTAATATTTTTTATGAATAATTCATTTTGAAGATTTCCTTTTTACTAAAACCCAATTGAACTTAATTGATAAAAACGTAAACAATTTATAATTGAATAGAGAAATAAGGAAATGTTGATCGAAATGAAGTTCAAGAATAAGTTGATCAGAGTTTGAGTCAATGGGTCTGAAGACATAAAAAATATAGTGTAGGCTTTGAAGCCTACACTATAAAGGGTTTCACATAATTCATTAGAAATGTTTTCACTAGAATTGATTTACTATTGAGAAGTGATGCCAACAACTAATACATATTAACTTTGCTTCAATTCACTCGAATCTCAATTCAATTAATTCTTTTAACTTTTAACAAATTAATCGATTTTTATAAAACCAAAGTAAATCAACTCAATTGGATTAAAATGATATATAAGTTAATTTAACTATCTATTCTTAGAAAATCTTTTTTCTTCATTTCTTACCATAATTTTTAATTAATTCTTAATTTTAAATTTGTTATATTTATCAAAATTTCTATATTTGATTTAATAAAATTTTCGTTCATTATTATTGATATTTATAACTTTTATTAAATATTATGAGTACTTCTGCAAATGAGCGTTTAAATGCAAAATTGAAATTAAATCAATAAATGTATTTTTAAAATTGATAAAATTATATTTAATAACCGTATCATACATTGATTTAAAATAATTTTAAGGAAATTGTATCAAAACACTTTAAAAATTATAAGTTTTAACATCCATGCCATTATCGGTAATAAACAACACTATTATTAGTAAAACATAAACAACATTTTACTAATACAGTAACATCATAAGAAAAGTATTATATAACTGAAAATATTTAATATTGAAGCCTAATGATATTTTAAGGCAAAAACAAAAATATTTTAGAAATAAAATTATAAATTTTTTCTTAATATATGATTTGATACATAATATGCTAATTATGTCTATTGCACAGTACATTAATGCTAGAAATGTTAACAATCACACATAACTCAACTATCCTGGTGCTCTTTAAATGACATGTACTGTACTATTACACTATAGATTCTATTATAGTATAGAGTAGATTACAGTTATAGTACACTTTTAGCTCAATTGAGTTTCTTTTACAAGAATTGAACTTAAAATGTTGAATATTTAAAGAATATTTGAAAAGCGAAAGAATAATATGATGTTTCAAACTGTTGTCAATCTTACATAGGAATCGCTTCTTAAAATAGTATTTCTGTAAAATACATATAACTTTAAAAGAAATCTCAAAAGAGTATTAAATTATAGTGAAGTGAAGTACTGGAAGAATGCATTTGAAATAGACATCACTGAAGTCACCAAAAAGCGATAAATTGATGCACAAGTAGTTCAATAGGACTAAAGTATAATAAAATTATTTCACTTAAAAAATACAATACTTTCATAACGTAAATGCAATCACAAAATTGATTAATTTCCGATTAGGTACGTAATTGTTAAAAACAACAAATGAATTATATAACAAAATTCACACGCTCAATTATTTCAAATCAATTATATTTTGCTGATAAGATTAGTAGGTTCTCTTTTATATATAAATTACAATTATTTTTTTTGCATTTAAAGAAAGTAACATTTAGTAGCATTTCAACAAATATTTGTAAAATAACAAACAATATGTTAATGAAAATATTGATTTTAAGTTTAATGATTTGTTGGTCAAAAGCGTCAGGACCACTGTTTGCTTACCAGGACTGCGGTCAGTTTTTATATTATTTATTATATATTATATAAAAAATAATTAATTTACACAATAATATATTATATTATAATATAAATTAAATTAGCTTACTTAATAACTTTTGATAATAATTTTAACTTTTGATATTAAGTTATATAAGTTTTAAAAATATAATTATATTATAATTAACTAAACATATTCTTACATATATATTATTAATATATAACAAATAACTACCGTAAGATTAATGGATTTATATGTTTTATTAAAGATATTAATCAGTTTCAATAATTAGTTTAATAAAAGAAAAATTCAAACAAAATGTTAAGTTAACAATGTATTAATATTTAAGCATTATTTCCTTAATACCTGAAATATTAATAATCAATTTAAATCTATAATTACAGCACATGGAAGTGCTTAATAAAACTACATACAATTTAATTATATACAATAATATAACCACAAATATTTAGAACAAATTATAAAAATTATATTTATTCTTTGTAAACAATAAAGGAGTTATTTTTGTTAAATATATTAATAAATTAAGCTTTTATTAATTTTGTAAATTAACATAAAATATTAAATTCAAAATCTTAAATTAATTTGACTGCATTAATAGGTGGCTCTAAAATGAAATTTGACAATGTATCAATTAGTCCACTGCCCATTAAATTCAGTGAAACCGATAAAATCTATTTGACGGCCAAAGTGGAGATCACGGAGGACTTGCCTTTGGATGCTTTGTCTCATTTAAAGCTCACAAAACTGGTCGAAGTCGAGCCAAACAAGACTATGGATGTGGACATCCCATGCGTGGATGACATGGGTTCGTGTGATCTCAAAGTTTGCGACATATTCTCGAAGTGGTATAACGACGTCGTCTGTCCCTTCTTCAAGCGAGACTCCATCCCCTGCGAGTGTCCCATCCGTTCCCATATATTCCAAGCCAAGGATGTCTACATTCAAGTGCCGTTTGATAAAATCAAAGGACTCATTGCATACTTAGCATCGGTTAGGGCTTTATATCTATTTATAACTTGTGTTTTACATACAATTGCTTTATTCTAATATTATATTAATGCTTATATAAATTATTGAGAATAAGTGGTCAGTAATTATAGTACAAACGATTATATAATTAGGATATTCTACACATACAGTGCTTATAATATTTTTGATGAGCTCATGTTTCAGCCATTAATCCAATTTAATCGCTAAACTCTATGAAATTTATTATATTATTAATTATAATTGGTGTAGTATTTGGTGTTATTAATTGTCAAACAGTAGCGTTTCAGTTATATCTATAATTTTTTGTTAATCTGACAAAAATTTAATGTTTTGTAAGTTATTATTAACTACTACTTACTATAACACAAATAACTTTTTAAGTGATCAACAAAAACAATTTTTGAGTAAATATTACTATATTTAAAATATTTTTTATTTTTAGGGCGATTACAAGATTGAATTCAGGATAACTGATGGACTCAACAAAACTGTATATTCGTGTCTCAATATTCAAGCAAATGTTGTATTTGTAAAATAATTGTTTGCAACTTTAATGTACTAAAACCTGCAAAATACTAATATGTATTCACTTCAATAAATATTTTAAATATTTCGTATAAGTTAAGTTAGTTTTATATGCATACAATAATATAATAGAGTATAACTTTGATACAATGGTACGATATAAATATATTTTTCATATTAATATTTATTAAATATCACCGTATATAAATTTATAATACAATATTTATGGTACTAGTATATCGTACTAGTACAGTATAATAAATGTTTAAAATGTTAACAGTATAGTTTATAAATTGTTTTCAAATATTAAAGTTGTAAGGTTTTATTCTTACCGGTAATTTAACCCAAATTTTTAATCACAAAAAAAGATTTAATGACTAATAAGCTAAAACTTTATTATATTATAATATTTAGGAATTACGTCATTCAATGGAAAACATTTATATATTAATACTATTAATACTTATAATAATTAATAATGATAATAATAATAATAATGTTATTATAGCATAAACTTAGTGAATTCCTAAATCATAATGCAGCATGCTGATAAAATAATCAAAATAATATTTTTTATTTTAATCTTTTATTAATAATATAATATTAATATTTTATTGGGTTTAAGAAAATGTATTCAAATATACAGTTTTGGTTATAAAATACTTTAACAGTAATAATCAATGAATATGCCAGTATTAATAAATTAGTAGAAAATAAATAGGCTAGTTTTAATTCAGTATAAGTTTTTATTTAGGTTTTTATAATAACCAATTTTATATACAGTATGGTTAAGACAAAATGATAGAAACAACATTTGATTCATAATAACAAACATTTTCTTTAAATGAGAGGCATTTTAATGTCTAGAATATGAGTGAAAGCATCAAAAGTTGCCGAAACTTCACTACATTTGATCAAAAGTGACACAAATATATCTAATTTGTATTTAGAAGACATCAAAACAATGCGATCTTCGCCTATATGTAAGTCTAATTGGTTTGAGTCACTAATCGAGGGTAAGATCACCCGCCCGTCCAAACAATTGCTGAATACATCAAACTTTAAGACATATTTGGGCGTCAGATACACTGTCTGTCCCTGAATGTCATCACTGCTCACGACTACAACACCTTCATCTTCAGGCCTACAGACAAACAAACAAATTATTTGTAAGATTTCATATAACGAATCAAATAAATGATTTTGAAACAAAAGGTTAATAAACTTGTATAAAATATTATTTTATGGCTTAAAAAAGTATGAACAAACATTTTTGACAAATACAAAAGTTGTTATGAATTATATGTGCATTGTTTGTGACATTTATTTGTAAATTATTAGAACTTTATTTAACATTACATTTATAAATTCTGTTTAACTACTGATTTATAATAAAGTTTTTTATATTACATAAATGGTATGTTTTAATTATAATTATTTTCGATAAATATTATTTGGAGTAATAAATGCCAAAATGTTGACCAAAATATAGAAATCATTTGTTATGTACAGAGAGGAGAGCTTTTTGGAGGCGTTTCGGGAATTGCTTTTTAGAGCAATGAATACTAATACTAATAATGTATTTGTAAATACAATTAATATCGCATATGAATGAAGAGTTGGTTTTGAAAAATGTTTTTAATTTGAAATTCCAGGAAAAGCATAATTAAGTTATTTATTGAAATGAGAAAATCTCATTCATATTTATATATAACTGAAACCAAAATTAACGCAAAAAATATGTCAAAGTTTAAAACACTTTTACNTATATATAACTGAAACCAAAATTAACGCAAAAAATATGTCAAAGTTTAAAACACTTTTACAAATTGAAAGTTTTATTTGAATGAGGATTAAATGGTTTTTATAGCCATTCAAAATACATTACACAATAATATTCGTATGAATGCAGCGAAATAATTAAATAATAATAAAACTTATTTATAAAAAGCAATCGATTGGATACTAAATATTAGCCCAAAAGAAGTAATTAATTGGAGATCAATGAATAGCTGCAAGAAATTGCAACCAAAATAGATTTTACTTTATTATTATATAACATAAAACCAAAATCTATTTACAAATAAATCAATCAATAGCTGCGATAAAACCTAAGTAAGTGTTAAACCATAAAAGAAATGATTATGAATTAGGGGACAATAGAAAATTGTTGAGCAAGGGGAATTGAGTTGCCATAGAAGTGATTCATTGGGAAAAAGGTCTGTAATGAATGTTTACTTAATATTTATTTTTGTGGTCATAAATTAAATGAAAAAATGAATATATATTTTATTATTATGTCATATGAATGAAGTTCGACGCTCTGTCCCAAACACATTGGCATTCATTAATGAAATTCAATGACTAGAATACCTGTCGTATAGAATAGTGTGAAATATACAGTATATGTAGTGTAGGATATTGTGGATATTGTTGGCAACGGTATTGTGTTTCAGACAAATATTATTATTTCACTGATTTATAGACAAAAGGTATGGCAAAGAGACCCAAAAAGCTGAAACCCCTTGGATTGGGTGCATAATAGAGCCGTTCTGTTGCTAACATTAAAATGGCTTAACTTTTGGTCAGAGGGCAGGATATTATGCATAAAAGTGAGGCTTATATTGAGGAGAAAAGAGGAAATAAGGCTTTCATAGGTATAACAGAAGGCATGCCTTTTGGACACACATTAGGGAACACCGATAAGAGTGAGAGGAACCCACAGTGACTACTACTTGATATACCATACGTGTTGTAAACGTGAATCTAATGCTATATTTATAGTAAGAATACAATTCCTCATGAAATACATGATTAGCTTATATTTATATTTTTCAAAAGTTTTGTATTGACGGGGACTGGCATACGAGTGACGCGGCATTCGCTGCTATCATATAAATAAATATACGAAACTTCATTCAAAAAACTACTGACTGGTGTACTGGTGTGCACCTGGTTTTCAATACCTCAATACCTGCACCTCTCAGGCAATACAGTCAGTGAAAAGAGTATTGAGAGAGCGATAGGAGAGAGGACTTCAAGTTTCTAACATCACTACACCTACTGTTCAAAGTTTATACGCTCTATACATCTCTACATATTATCTAAGGTGTGCTTTATTTTCATTATTTCCTTCAATAGTGTTCAACATATTAGACAAACAGTGGTTAAGAGTGCGATAGATGTGATGAAAATGAATTTTAATGACATTTGCAAGCATTCATTGAACATATGAAATGTGATGTCAATCCTATTGAATGGTGTGTTTCAATGCGACTTTACTATAGTTATCTAATACAGTATACAAACAACGCTAACAGGTATTTAAATATGAGTTTTGCCTTTTTTCCTATTGGTTTGCGATTTATTTATTTGTTTTGACATTTTATTGTCTCGATTAAAGTAATAATGATTTTGAAATGAAAATGTATTATATTTGCAACTTTTCAATAGGAAAACAAAGTGTACATTCAGTGAGTGTTGACTTCAAATTTTCGTCTCACGTCATAAACAGAGGCTTTAATCGATTTAATAAGAAGTTCACAAAACGGATCTTAAAACTAAAGCAATATTTTGTTATTTGCTTTAATTGTTCCACTTTTATGTGAAGCACTCAATACCCAAAGCCAGCCATAAATCGCTTTAAGAAACAAAATCTGTTTTTTAAGCGTAAAGGAAGAGAATTTCAAAACTAATGTATACATCGGTTATACATCTCTCGTAATACTAATAAACCCACAAAAAACGAGACAACAGTTAAAATACATTAATATTTAAAAAGAAGAGACAGTAATGTATGGCATGTATGGCATTGGAGTGAATTAGCATTGGATTGGGTGCCGAACGGGACAACACTATTATTAGACACAATTGTGAACCAACACAACACCGCGTTATCTATCAGTCTTCACTTAACCAGCATTTAGTCTAAAGTCTTCACTACTTGAATGCTCTCCACGAAACTCAAGTCAACATCAAAACATAAAACTGATAGTCAGTTAACATTGAAGTAAAAAAGTTCAAACATTTGGTAAAACTTTTGCCTCCACTTCACTACTGTTTTTTAGATTAACGTTTTGAAGCGCTTTTCAAGACTTCATATCTCATGACAATGTTTTACATAAGAATTGTGTCCAATATTATTTTGATCGCTTGCCTACACGTCGACCACTCTCTGGCGGCCGATTACTTCAAATATGACGCCCGACAACCGAGAGGTCACCCCCAAAGTGGACAGATATCAGGGCACGAGAAAAGATCGGCAAACGTTTACGACTTGAGGTGTCCTAAACAGGAATACATTCATCCCTGCGATTGTTTGGGTTAGCATTCAATCTGTTATTTTCATTTAAATCATTAAAATTTAAACATATTTTAAGAATTAGACAAAAGACTGGACGCGGAGTTCGAGGGCAGTGGCGGCGGGGACGAGGAGAGCGGCACAACAGGCGCGCCCGCCGTAGGCCTCACCATCGAAGAAGCTATTCACCCGGACCTCATCGAAACGGTGGCCTTTTGTAAGAACATCAGGAATGTCCAGGTCTTGACGGATGCCATCAAAGGCTTTCATGGTATGGACTCATGTATTCAAATGCATTATTTTGCACAAATTATACGCAAAAGTCATTGAGATATAAAAAATTAACTCATTTTTATATTTTTATCCAAATTATACAAAAACCAACAAAAATCTCATCCAATTCAAGGCCATAGAATCAATTACTTCGTTCTGGACGGTTGCAAATTGCCGCCTTTCCCTAACAGGTACTCCACTCTCACTCTTTTCACATGTAATTTACTATCAAAACAGAGCAACGATAGGAAGAGTGAAAATTATGTGCAATTTAAACAAATATCTCAAATACTTTAACACAGAATACTATGCTATAAGCTTGGAAAGTTTTTGAGAGTAATTGTATTTTTGGTACTTTTACAGCCTATTTAATGGTGTGAATATACTTTGGATGGAAATACTAAACTCTACCCTTCAGTTCCACGAGAATTACTTCAATTCAAAGGCCTGTCCTTAGACTACACGAGAGGGCTATGAGAATACGTTTTCAACAAAATGTCGTGAATATACAGTCAAATAATTATTGTTTTGCAACAAAACGTTTCACACAAACTAGAGTTAACCATAACAATGACAATAACTTAACAAAACAACGAAACCATTAACTAATATACAACATTAACTTATTTTAATGCCTTAACGAAACTAAATTAAGAAATAGTTTTTAACTTATATTCAAATCATACCTATGGTTGAGAATGGTTTGAGTTTGCGGTCGTTTGACTCGATCGGAGTCGGACTTGGTTTTGGGGCCATAGTTGCCGTCATTATTACTATTATTAATATTTTCAATGAGTTTATTATTAATATTAGTGTTTACGTATTCATAATCTAAGCCATCGTTGCCGTCATCGCTTTCATCATGATTAATATCATTGATATTTAAAATCGCATTCAAATCATTGACTATACTTTTATCACCACTTTTATCACAATTAATACCGATTTTATGATTAGCACTACTGTTATGACCACTGGATTCCTGATACTTTTTATTCTTAAGCAAAATCCAATCATTTTTCTCTAACAAACTCTTGCATTTGCTTTCAATTGTTTCTAACGACACTGTAATTAAGAATGTTTTGTATAATTGACTGAAACTGATTTTATTTATATAAAAGTTTGTGTTTATTATAACGTCTAAAACCCGTGCGAACGATCCGCTCTTATCTACTGTGGGCTTAAATTGGCTTAAAATGAGAGGAATTGTAAAACTGGTCGAGTCTTCAGAGGCCAACAGTTGTCGCAATTCCTCTTCATTCAAGTCAAGAGTCGGTGCTTTCATCTGACCATTCAATTTACTGTGGGCTTAAATTGGCTTAAAATGAGAGGAATTGTAAAACTGGTCGAGTCTTCAGAGGCCAACAGTTGTCGCAATTCCTCTTCATTCAAGTCAAGAGTCGGTGCTTTCATCTGACCATTCAATACATACGATAAGCCATTCAATCCATACAATTGTTCTATTCTTTTGTTAATAAGTTTCGTAATCAGAATGTTTATCAAATATATAATAAGTATTTTGTGAATTAAATATAATATAAATATAAATTCTAAAAACAAATCAAAAGTTTAAGTGACATTTAATTTGTTTTAAAAATAAATTAATAAAAAAGTTTATATTTTTAGTAATAATATGAAGGATACGTTTGTTTACGTCTCATAAATGTTTGCATATTTTAAACTTAATGTTAAGTCAAATAAATAAATAAAATGTATTTTAATATCAAATCAATTCAACAATCAATTGATACCATCGATGAGTGACAGAAGTTCACGAATAGCTTCTCATTGGTCGACAAGTCCTTAGTCTTCAGGCAAAAGCCCACAATCTTTGTGTCCTCAATGTCTTGTTGTGTCTCTGGTTGGGACCACTTGTCCACAGATATGATCTGCAAATCAATCAAGAGTTTCATTAATAATCAAATGATTGCCAAATGTTTTCATAATTAAATACCCGTTTGAAGAGAGACTCAAATTGTCGGTCATTTGGTCTGTCATTTACTTCGAGGTAATTATCTGAA